CAAGGCTAGCGCTCTACCACTTGAGCCATAGCACCACTTCTGGTTTTCTGAATGGTTTATTGCAAATATGAATGAGTCTTACAGACTTTCCTTCCCTGGGCTGGCTTTGAACCACAATCTTCAGATCTCAGCCTCCTGAGTATCTAGGAATACAGGCATGAGCCACCAGCACCCGGCCCTTTGTTTTTTGAGACCCTTTCCATTAATTGGAATATAAGTTCTTATCAGATACATGTTCTAAAACAGTTTCTTGCACTCTGTGCTCTTTTTCATTCTCTTCATAGAATCTTGTCAGAGCAGTTAACAAGTTCAACTTGGGCCTAGGATATTCAACTGAGTCTTGTGGGAAATTCTAGTTTCAGCCTCTCAGATTTAAGATGCTTTGCTTTCATTCTCATAGCTAAGCTTGTGGTCTTTATGTTTTGTAAACTGAAATCTGTGCTGTGACTCTTTTAAGTTGGGTGGAAAGAAGCTGCTGCCCAAGTGTGGTGACCCATTGAAGATCAATGTTTAAATAAATATGCCTAGTGGATCTATTTCATTTTATGTCTGCAGGATGAGCTGCAGGAAAAGGAGGGTGGAGAGTTCTGAGGTCATGAGGTCATAGAATTTTATTTGTTCATTAATGTGGACAAAGATTTTTGGCAGTTAAAATGGGAAAAAAGGGTGGATATGAGAGTGATTGTGAGGAAGGAAATGGCAGGGCTTGAGTTAGCGTGTGAAGGATGGTAGGAGGCACTGGTTAGCTCTAGATTGTGTGGCTAAGGAAAGGCAGAGTGTCAGGAGTCCAAGTAAAAGGAAAAAGAAAGTGTTGATCTTTAAGGTCATCTTCAAGGTCAAGAGTGACAAGGGCATGTAATCCTCTGTGGTAGTAGGATTAGATTTTTGCGTGTGGAACTGTTAAAAGCACAATTACAAAGATGTAGATATTGGGGTACATAAAGTACTGGCCAAAGAAATCATTTATAATAATCTTAGTTTATATTTGACTGTGTGAGGATTTTATCTAAGATGGATTACAAGCTTGGTTGAAATGAAAAGACTTGATATATTAATTCCCCCAGGAACTGACCTTAGACAAGGATTTGAGTGTGTGTTGTATTTTAGAGGTTATCCTAAGTAAAATGCATAGAAGAGTAGGAAGTGAGATAGGAACTTGAAGATAGAAAATAAGACATTTGTTTTCACACTTGTTACCAGTGTGGTAACTGGAGCTTATTCCCACTGGGAACCTTGGGAGCAGGGCAGAGCATGTGTTTCAGAGGGCTGATGCAGCTGTAGTACTTCTATACATATATCCCATCAATCATTGCTTAAGATGGTTTCTAGGGGGGTTGGGAATGTGGCTTAGTGGTAGAGTGCTTGCCTAGCATGCATGACTCCCTGGGTTCCATTACTCACTACCACATAAACAGGAAAAACTGGAAGTGGTGCTGTGGCTCAAGTGGTAGAGCGCTAGCAAAAGAAGATCAGAAATAGTGTCCAGGTCCTGAGTTCAGGTCCCAGGACTGGCAAAAAAAAAAGGTCATTTCTAGGAATGGTAGGTCTATAGTATAGCAAGTTTGCTATGTGGGAACAAAATAGACGTCAGAGGTTAGAGAAAGTCCCTCAGATTAATAAACAAAACACAAACCTAAAGCAGTTGCTGGTGCAGTGTACCTGGAATAGGTAAAGCCTATGGGGAGGAGGTTGTGCTTCTGACACCTTCCTTAATACCCTGCCAAACAGTTCCAGCATTTCCAACTCACTTCCTCTAGTCCATCATTTAAGCATTCTATTTCAGACTTAAATGAATTGTTCCAGCAGCAATTAGGACTGGCTCCAGGTGTCTTTTTTTTTTTTGGTCAGTTGTGGGTCCTGAACTCTGTCTGGGCCTGGGTGCTATCCCTAAGCTCTTCAGCTCAAGTTGAGTGTTCTACCACTTGAAGCACAGGCCATTTCTCATTTTCTGGTGGTTTATTGGAGATGAGTCTCACTGACTTTCCTGCCGGGGCTGGCTTTGAACCATGATCCTCAGATCTTCGCCTCCTGAGTAGCTAGGATTACAGGCATGAGCCACCGGTGCCTGGTGTCCAGGTGTACTTTTGAACATCAACTCCTGATTTATTAGCCAATGCCCTCATACCAACAAACTTCCTGCAAGAGGCTGGCATCCTAACCCGCAAACCAAACGGAGTAAACAACACTAAAAGCAACAATTACATGAAATTAAAAAAAAATTCCTAAGTTGAACCTTGTCAAAATTAACTGCCCTGAAAAGATTCTTTGATGTGAATGAAAAAAGCAGAGAGTGAAAGAAACTATTTTCAGAACAATTTTTTTTTTTTTTTTTTACCTGTCCTAGGGCTTGAACAGGGCTTGGCTCTGTCCCTGAGCCTCTTGTGCTCAAGGCTAGTGCTGTATCACTTGAGCCAGCACTACTTCTGGCTTTTTCTGTTTATGTGGTACTGAGGAATTGAACGTAGAGCTTCATGCGTGCTAGGCATGACACACTCTACCACTAAGCCACATTCCAAGCTCCAGAACACATTTTTGATGAGAACTCATGTCCAAATTATAGAAATGATCTAGGGAAATCAACAAGAAGAAAACATGGGCTACCTTTTCTTTAGTTCTATTTTGATTTATCAGAGTTTGACAGCCTGCCTGCCTGCCTTCCTGCCTTCCTTCCTTCCTTCCTTCCTTCCTTCCTTCCTTCCTTCCTTCCTTCCTTCCTTCC